CATCAACTTATCAATGTCAGAGTACATCACGACATGTTTCTAAGTGAAGAAAGCAATCTAGGAGGTGCACTCACGTTCCAAATTTGCGTGAACTAGAAATTATCTCGTTGAGTTCTTCCTTGGTCAAATGTCTATAAAAAGAACCAACTGTAATGTTCTTTGTTGAATCAAGGGACCAAATCGGTTGGTCATAATTCTGGTCAAGAGATACAGAAGACAATGAGTTCAAGAGTGATTCGTATTTGTTAACTTCCCAATTATTGAGGTTCCCCAAGAGCTCTACATGCCAATCTCTTCCCTCTTTTCTATCGCTTAAGCCTTTTTAACCAATAGATCCTTATATCTATAATAGTGAAGATCTGAGAGAACCTATCTCTCAACACTCCTCCTTTAGTCCAAACATCCATCCAAAAACCAATTCTCTCCTCATTCCCAATTCTCTAATTGATACCTTCTTGAAATTTATCTCTTCCCATGTTTCTCTGTTTCCACAACCACTTCCCATGTGGCCTAGCCAAAGCACCAGAGTATCTCCCCCTATCCATTGTACCAAAATTTGCCTCAATCGCACTCCTTCATAATATACCCCTTTCTTTCATAAACATCCATATCCATTTTTCCTGAAGTGCCTGATTTATTTCTATTACAAATCTCAAACACAATCCTCCCTCATTTAACGATCTTTTACTCACCTCCCATGCCACCAAGTGGTATTTCCTTCTTTTCTCTAAGTCACCCCATATAAGTCTGCAGTGAATTACTTTTAACTTCTTAGCAATAATTGTTGGAATTGTTAAAAATAATGTAGTAAACTGGAAGATAGGATAACGTGCTCTTGATAAATGTTAGGCATTCACCTTTAGAGAGTAACTTCCTTCTCTCCTCTATATCCATCTATCCTTAGTTCTAGCCATTTCCCTTTCGCACCCTTCAAAAGTTTATTGTTCTTCTCTTTCCACACCACCCAAAAAATAGTTAAAGGAACAAGATTTACAAATTTTTTCTTTGCACATATCTCATCTCATGCCCATAATTTATCTCTAATTGTTCCTGTAATAAGCTAGTTAATCCCCAGCATACCATAAATCACTGTCTAAATGTTGTACATCATCGAACACTAGAGAAGAATGTGATTACAAGATTCAGTAGCTTTCTTTAACTAGAATTTTGCCCTTTTTATCAACTTATAAATGGTCAGAATGCATTCTCGTCTCGCTTCCCATGCAAAGAAAACAATTCTTAAGGGTGTTTCACCTTCCAAATTTGATTAATTGGGAACTTGACCAGCCTCGCCTTATCCATTTTGACCAAATGATTATAAAAGACTAACAATGAACTCTCCATCCTTATTCAGTTTCTGCATGATCTTGTCCTTGTTTTCACTCAAATGCATATTGAACAACAGCTAAAGCAATGTCTCATATTCTTCTACTTCCAATCGTGAGGTTCCTTGTCACATTCGTATTCCACTTCCTTCTACAATTCTCCCCCTAAAGGCTTCCTCTACAACCATATTCTTCTCTTGATTAATAGCATAAATCCTCGGGAATTGATTTCTGAGACTACCCTTTCCTATACATTCATTATCCCAAAATTGGATTTTATTTTCCCTCTCAATCTCCATTGAATACACTCTAAAAATTGTTGTCTTCCATACCTATCTTCCTCCACAAACCCATCTTGCGAGGCCTCACTATCTCTCTAGTTAACCCTCCCCCTTCGTCCACTCTATCAATAACTCTCTTCAACAACCTCCCCTCCTCTTTCAAATGCCTCCATATCAATTTTCCTTGTAAGGGCCATACTCATCTCAAAAAATGATCTTAAGCCCAAACCCCCTTACTTCACCAGATGATATCTCCTACTCCTTTCATTATCCTCCCAAAAGAATTGACATTGAATATTTTTCAGGTTTTTTGCTACTTTACAGGCACTATCAAGATAGATAAATAATAAATAGGAAGGTTTATGAGCTTGCTTTTAATGAGTTTTAACCTCCCACTCTTAGATAGGTAATTTCTTTTCCACCCAGTTAGTCCTCTCAAACATCTCAATCGCAGGGTCTCAAGTTCTCTCTCATCTTTATATTTTGCCTCTAGTGGAAGTCTAAGATACTTAATAGGGACCTTTACAGATTTACAACTCAAAACCTCCACAACCCTAGCCCCAAACCAAAAGATTTAATATCATCCATTCCTCAAGTTGACAGAAAAATCAGAGTATCATCAGCAAAAAATAAATGAGAGATCTCTATTTGATGGGACAACTCTTGCATTTTTACTTCAATACCTCCACCATAACTTTCTCCAACAATCTGCTCAATGCTTCCATACTATAATAAAAAAGAAGTGTAGATAAAAAAATATCCTTGCCTCAATCTCTTGACACCCTGAAAAGGAAGGCCCTCTATTTACCATCACCGCATAGAGGATGTGTGCCTACTCATGAACAAAGATTTTTAAAATCTTCCATGGAATATAAAGAAATACTCATAACCGACAAGCCCAATGTTTGATATCACCTAACTTTAACCTTATTAACATCCTCTTCCACTCCAAAAATCCTTCTATTCCTCTTTTCCCACACCACACAAAAGATAGTAAGAGGAATCAATCCTAAATGTTTTTTTCCAATCACTGACACCCTTCCATGCTCATAACTCATTCCTAACATTATCCGCTATTACCTAACCGACGCTTAACAACCCATATGCCAGACACTATAGTTTATACGTTAAGGGGCACCATAGTAAAATATGATTGCAAATCTCTTCCACCTTAGAAAGGTAGCGCTCGTTCACCAAATATGATCGCATGTTTTGTTTTTAGGAATTCTCAATGTCTGGAACATAGTTTTAAGCTTTTGAGCCCAGGCTTCTTCTAGCTTTGGTAACAATTAATATAGAATAAATTATGATTAATTTGGATCCTGATATATAATTTATTAGACATTATATTTAAAAAGTTTTAAAGCATCACACAACTAATTGAAGAAAGTAAAACTTATTAAACAATAAAGTCTGTCTCAAAAGTAAAATTAGAAAGTTCTTCTTAGTTAACTAAAACTTATTGTACAACAAAGTCTGTCTCAAAAGTAAAATTAGAAAGTTCTTCATAATGCTTCTTAGTTAACCTTTCTCAAATAAGATTAAACTAAGAAATACTGATGCTAATAAGATTAGGAAATAATACTACTAATATTAAATAAGAAAACTGAATATTAATAAGAATAAAATCCTAAAGTTGCTAAAAGTATAACAATTTTTTTTCCGAATGATAATAAAACTATAACAATAGACTCCTATATAGTATAGTAAATTTATAGTTGATTGAATCATAATTTCTAATTTATATAAGTAACCAAGAGCTAATCCATTCTGCATTATATAAAAGGACATAGGACCACCTGTTGCATACAGCAGATTTCCTCAACTAAAAACAATTGGTCCCTTTTCCCTAAAATCCTCACTTGTGAAGAAAGAGAGTTTTGAACATGGCTCAAACTGTGGTCAGTATAAAGATTTGTCCTAGAAAGAGTTTTAGTACTTCCTAGGAATATAGCACAACCCAAAATTTATTTCTACTTAAAATTCATATAGAATCCAAATTCAAGAAGTACTAGGAGTACCTAGAAACAAGGACATCCAAGTTTCAATTCTTTCTATCATGTCCCAAGTAAACTATAGTTTATCATCACGTATTTAAAATCAAATAGTTGACAGTCTAATTACTTCCTAGGAATATAGTATAACCCAAAATTTACTTCTACTTAAAATTCATATAGAATCCGAATTCAAAAAGTACTAGGAGTACCTAGAAACAAGGACATCCAAGTTTCAATTCTTTCTATCATGTCCCAAGTAAACTATAGTTTATCATCACATATTTAAAATCAAATAGTTGACAGTCTAACTACTTCCTCGGTACACATCCTTCCTCTATATGGAACTTTTACCAATTAGAGAAGACATGTTAAGTTTTTTTGAACTGTTTATGTTGATAAGCTCTTTTACTTAAAAATCATAAATAAACTGTAGAAAATAAGAAAAAAATAAAAAAAATAAAAACAGAAAACTGTGTGCCATATCCATTACTCATCTAAATCCTTCAATTTTTTTTCCAGTTCTGGCAAAGGGAGGCAACAATGCTGAGGCAACAGCTGCAAAGCCTCCAAGAGAATCATCGGTATTATGTTTGGTTTTGCTTTTACTTTCAAGAATTTTTTCAATCCAATATCAATCAAAAAGCAGAAGAATTAGGTGCATACAGTGAAAAAAAATGCAGAACTAAATGTTATTTAGTGCATCAAGGACTTGTCACACATCGTATTGGACATAAACCAAGGGACAATTTTTTTTGAATGTTATACACCAAAGCATACAGTCTATTCATCAACATCCAACCAGCAGATAAAAAAAAAAAGCTTCTTTTCCTTTTGCCCGAAATCATGTTAAGAAAATGGAGACAACCTTTTCTCTAATTCATTATCAATAGTGAGGTTAAGAACATGTACACTGTCATTCTTATACTGATCAAACAACACGATAAAAATGCATCCATCAACATCTGACCTACAGACATAAAAAGAGGCTTTCTTCTCTTTGCCGGAAAGCATGCTAAGAACATGTAACTTCCTGATCTCTGTACTTATTATTCTATTATTAAGTTAAGAACATATGCATTGTCAATATTAGTATCTCCTATATGTCAAAGGATAATTTTTTGACAGACTCTTAAAGTGAACATATCTGGACTGCTTAATGGGAAAATTATGGAATAGAATTTAGCCTGTAAGCACTGATATTGGTGAACCAAATAGCCCATTAGTAATTTCTAAATCATATGCTTTTCTCAGTTTTCTGGTGAACGCAGAACAGGTCACATATTATTGTCTTCTAATTCCTCTTATGGTGTTATTCCATACATTTTAACATACGAGGCAGTCTTCTAGGTAGTCTGGTCACTGCAAGACTGGGAAAATAATGTTATCAAGGAACTAAGGGGTGATACAGAGATCAGAGGTGATTTAGATTTCTGTTAAAATGTCTGTAAGGTTACGTAGGTCCTCATCATGCATAAGAGAATGATCCTTAAAACAAAAACATAGGATTTGGTGTCAAAGGTCCCTCACAGTATGTAAGAGAAAAATACCATCTACAAAAACTCTATGGTTCCTTTTTTTTTCCTAACAACCTGCAGTGTAGCCTAAGAGATGAGAGAGACAAGCTTCTTCCTTCTCTTATCTAGAAATGCCCTACCAAACTTATCAAATACCAAACTAGCCATGACCCAAACCCAATCCAAGGAACTGAAGTGCAGCACACCAAAAAAGAAAGGAAAAAGTGCACCACGTTGAAAGGTAATTTCAAATGTCAGCTGCCCTCTTACAAAGAAAGCACCTGTTAGCCAATCCCGAAAGATAATTATCAATAGTTAGGAATCTCAGCGGTTAGCCAAAAGCTGTTCTCAAGGCCATATTTTACTTCCTAAGTGGGTTCTTGCTTTTGACAGTGCTGCATGAATCCCATTACAAGAAATACAGGAGAAGCACATGATATTCAGGAGACTGACATATCCATCTTCTTCCAATCTTTCAAATTTCTAATCAGATCCACCTCCCACACCACCTGACCAGAGGATATGCAATGGAGGTGACTCACTAATGCCTCCTTCCTCTTGCACAATAACAACACTGAAGGAAAATGATGGTCTAAGGCCCTTCATCTTTCCCAAACTTCAACTTCCTACTAAACATGACACTCATCTATAAACAGTTGCAGAACTCATCCCTGCCTGCAATATACTCTTCTAAAAGTACAACCCATACTTGTAAGTCCCGGTCCTCCAAACCCATCATCCAAACCAAATTTGGTTATAATCACACTCGATCAGAAGCTACCTTTATTGTGAATCTCCAAATCCACTTCCCAATGAGTGTCTTGAAGAGTAATCATAACTGGATTCAAATCATGGCTGAATCCCATGAGACCTAGTCCATCCTCTCTCTCCCTTCCTCCTGCGCTCTCCTCCAATTGCAAGAGTTGTCATTCACAAACAGCTAGGTGAAGTGGCAATCGTTAGCCAAATAGAATGATTTTCCATTCATAGTGGTTGCTCGGTAGTGACTAGATTAGTGGCAACTTGCAAACAATCAGTAGTGGAGATAGGCAGGAATGGCTGAATAGCAGCTTCCCCAACTTTCCAAAAATTATAATATTAGCATTTTTACTTCACAGATACTCTTTAATTTAATTTTTTAATATTGAGAAAGTGTAATATACATTAACTCACGGCTCATTCCCCTGGCCACCTTCTGGGATTGGGAAGGAGAGGACTGGAGGGCTTTTGAAGGGATTGAATCCTCTTTTGACAGGTTTAGAGACTTGTGGTTCAATGTCCCAAGCTTTTTTATAAAGGACCAGCCATCGGGTTCCTGCGAGGAGTCGAGGGAATTGATTGATGTTTTGCTTGAGATATAAAGAATTTTGTAGATAGGTTGGTGCTCATTTATATATTTTCTTTTTCTTGCAGAAGAAATATGTATACACCACTAACTTAACAAAAGAGTTAATTTTCGTATGCTTTGATGAGAGATCTTAGAAACTGTAGAAAAAATATTATGCTGAGGCAGGAATTCCCTTTTATCTTTATAAAAATTCTTCCTATCATTTTAGGATACTTAGCTTTTTTAGTTTTGGTCAAACAACAGTAACTTTGACTTGTTCACAACAGTGTAATTATTGTCAACATGAAAACTTCTTTTCCTACAAAAAAAAAATCCATAGTAACAACAACGGAGCCCCAGAAAGCAACATCTTGCTCCCTACTACATAGACACAGCATGGCATATATCAAACTAAAAGGTACGGAGAAGATGTAACATGAAAAGTGACATCTCTTCAAATTTCCAATGCATTTCAGTAACATCTTTAAAAGATCAAAGTTTTGGAGTCAAATCACTTATTTCCATACAACAATAACAGGCAGATGATGGGGGAAGAGCTTTCTGGCTTGAATGTTAAAGATTTACAGAACTTAGAGAACCAACTGGAGATGAGCCTTCGAAGTGTTCGCATGAAAAAGGTCTGATAATGAAAATATAACCAAATAAAATTGGAAACTGCTAGCAAACAAAGCGTATTCAGACTCACTTCAGTTATTGGTTTACTTTGTAGGACCAAATCTTGATGGATGAAATACAAGAACTAAACCGAAAGGTGAATTGAGAAAACAAAAGGTTTATTTTTTGTCTGACTTTTTTTAATCCTGACTAACTAAATTTAGTATTGCAGGGGAACCTCATTCACGAAGAGAATGTTGAGCTCTATAAGAAGGTAAACCTCATCCGTCAAGAAAACATGGAATTATATAAGAAGGTATCAGTTTTGGTAACTGATAAACACTGCAACCATGCATAAAACACTAGTCCAGTTCAGTCAGTAAACTTTGTTTCTATTTCAGTATGTTCCAGAGTCACTATAAGAACAGTGATTTGCATACCAGGTTTATGGAACAAGGGATGGGAATGGAGCAAACAGGAATTCCATTTTCAAAAATGGTCTAAGCTTAGGAGATGACTTGCATGCACCTGTTCACCTCCAGCTAAGCCAACCAGAGCAGGCAAACTACGAGAGACCTTCAAGGGCTACAAAACTGGAGTATTGTTCTTTCCTATTAAAACATTTTGGTTATGCCCAGATATTATTATGCCACAAAACTTACAGAGGCCTGTTTCCATTGTAATTGCAGCAAACTGCAACTGCATTAGCAAAGAAGATGCATTACAAAGGGATTAAATGAGCTCAATTTCTATCAAGAAGGATCCATGGATGAAGTTATGCTCCTAATACTTGGGATGTGGTATGTGAACCACTAGCTATTCAAGAAAACCTTTTGGTTAAAAATGATTAAAGGAAGCAACTTTAGCAGGTGTGTGTGAAGAGGGAAACCAGCTTCTTCTGTAAAGATAAGATTTAAGTGTAATAAAGGATGAAAAATAAATTTCACTGCATCTACCAGGCAATAATTTAGCAGTAATAAAATAAAGGGTGATCCTGAGAAAGATAATATGGTACCATCACAATATTACAAGATCAGTAATTAAGCAAAACAAAAGTTTTCTGCAACAACATGATTCATGAATGCCCCATAAGCAACACTAACAAGTAATAATCCGTGCCTCACTAAATAACTGTGTCAAATTAGTGTGTGACATACCTTAAACATTCAAAAGCGAATAGATTTTCCTTCAGATCAATAGACATCCCGGTAGATTAGAGCCCTGCTGAAAGACAGATTCTGAATAATCAACTTATGTAAAAACATATAAGCATAATGTAGCAATGCATTTAGGTTGGACTAGAAGTTAAATACCAACGAGAATCTGAAATACATAACCCTTCAAACAGAAGGAAAAATTTACAAAATTAATTCCACAAGGTATCCTCCCACTTTATACACATTCTTTTTATCTCAAAAAAAGGTAACCTCCCATTTTATGTTCTTTTTATCTCTCGCTCTCTCGCACTTGCGCTCGCTCTCTCTCTCTCTCTCTCTCCCTCTCTCTCTCTCTCCTCTCTCTCTCTCCTCTCTCTCTCTCTCTCCCTGTTTTAAGTTTATTTTCTTATAATAAAAAGAGGAAACTACGAAAATCTGAAAGCCCTGATAAAGGTCAAGATTCATAACCAATTAAAAATTGTACTTAGAAAAGAAGCCTTACATCTGTATAGCCTGCAGATGTGAAAAATATCCTAACTTGACTTCTTACTACGTGGCCCGCGTGAAAGTAACTTTTAATCATAAACACTCCAACACTAAAGCCACGGAATTTACTCTCCAATGTTGAACGCTCAAGTTAACTTTCTCTGCCAGAAAAACAAGATCCATTTAAACTGAGGAAAGATCGCATAGCGATGACATTTAGATTACAAATAACCACAACTGTTAACTATTTGGCAAAGATATAACATAAGAGGATTGAGAAACCTAGGGAATAAATAATTCTAAGCTATTCAATTTAGCTCAACCTCAAAAAGGATCTTCAATTTCTCTATTTCAAAAGAAAAAAAGATCTTCAATTTCTCTATTTACCAATATGTTTCTCCTAGAAATATAAAGGGTCAAAGTTGACAGTTTTGGCTGCCACTCATAATTTCCTAAGTTAAAATATATTTTGTTGCAATGCCACAAGAAACAGTGGTTTACATCAAAACTTCATGATGCAAATCTTTAGGTCTAACTGAACTCTTCCGACAAGCAAAGGCTGAAAAACATCAAGTCAGTTAAAGTAGCAGGGAAGAAGGCAAGCCTCGCAATACACATGAGAGTTTCCATAAAAGTTTGATGTTTGGATCATTAGCGTATTACAAGATCTTTTTTTTTTTTTTATATAAAAAGAATATTAGAAGATTAAAACCAAATTTACATCCTCAAGAATCTTACTTTTATTCAATTAGACCAATGATTAAATGAGAAACAGAACTAAGGACTATCAAGAAAAGGAAAAGACAATGGATAGAAAGAAACAACAGCCTGGAAACATTTAGTGTGTGAATCATCACCCACCACCTTCTAGGAAGAAAAGAGATCCTTTCTTGAGCCTTCTACTTTTATCAGCTATTAGGAGACAAAGTAACAATTGAATTTAGCATGTCAATGCAAACCTAAAAATAGGCACAGATATTCATGAACATGTTTGCATGAAGGCCCAATAATGGTAACAAATGGGTAAAAAATAAGGGGGGAATTAAGTTCCTACTATTTGGAAAAATTTTGATACCATGTTAAATAATTAGCTGGGATCAGAGGCACGTGCTCATAGATCTAAGAAGCAAAAAGTGAATAGCATACTCTACTGCAGGGAATCATACAAAAGAGGGGCCTAAAGTATTTCAAATAGACCAAAAAAAGCTTAAAGACAGATAGTAACTTAAATATATATGAAAAAGATAATCAAAATCTTGAAACTCAAAGAGTAAAGTTTTTCATTGATTAGAATCTGAGAAATCTAAACTTCAATATATTTAAATAGTTATCAATCGACCTCTATGCTATGCAGCAGAACTTCAAGTTCTAGCAGGTGTAATCAAAGCTTTTGTCATTGAAAACTTGCTGGTGCTAGGAGAATTTACTAATAAATTCATTTTTGGCTGTGAGACAATGTACTAATAAATATTCAACTTTGGAATTGCAGGCAGCCATCCTAACAGAGAATGCAACCTTGAAAGGAGCACTAGCTTGCTAGGAACGTGTTGCTAGAAAAGCTTGATCACTTTCAAAAACTCTAGCAATTTACAGTGACCACTAACATTTAAAATAGGGCTATATTACATTGTCCAGATTTTATTGTGATATAATCATCTTCCTCTACAAGAGGGTACAACCCTCATCAAATGCACATTCTCCAACCTGTCGATTTACTTCATGTCTCACAATACTGTGTACAGTTAAGAAGCTTGAGGCACTACAATATAGATTCCTTTGATTTGGGGGATCCAAAGTAAATACCACCTAGTGGCTTGGGAGGCTGTGGAACAACCTTTCTCTTTGGGGGTATCAATATATTTAAATAGTTATCAATCGACCTCTATGCTATGCAGCAGAACTTCAAGTTCTAGCAGGTGTAATCAAAGCTTTTGTCATTGAAAACTTGCTGGTGCTAGGAGAATTTACTAATAAATTCATTTTTGGCTGTGAGACAATGTACTAATAAATATTCAACTTTGGAATTGCAGGCAGCCATCCTAACAGAGAATGCAACCTTGAAAGGAGCACTAGCTTGCTAGGAACGTGTTGCTAGAAAAGCTTGATCACTTTCAAAAACTCTAGCAATTTACAGTGACCACTAACATTTAAAATAGGGCTATATTACATTGTCCAGATTTTATTGTGATATAATCATCTTCCTCTACAAGAGGGTACAACCCTCATCAAATGCACATTCTCCAACCTGTCGATTTACTTCATGTCTCACAATACTGTGTACAGTTAAGAAGCTTGAGGCACTACAATATAGATTCCTTTGATTTGGGGGATCCAAAGTAAATACCACCTAGTGGCTTGGGAGGCTGTGGAACAACCTTTCTCTTTGGGGGTATCATGGGATTAGATCATTGATTACTTTCAATGATTACTATCATGGGATTAGATCATTGATTCCTTTGAAGAGGTTGATGGAAGAAGAGATCCCAATTTCTTCCTTCATTGGCTTAATTCAATGGAAGAATACTTCAACTAGCATGAGATTTCAAGGTGAGGTTGGTTAGACTTGTAAAAATATGGTAGTACATTATTGATGAAAACATTACAAGGATATATAGCTAACAATTGAAACATGGGATGAGATGAAAACTATTATTTGTGAAAAGTATTATTGAACCATGTTTCAATTGTTAGCTATCTTCCAATTACTTTGACAAACTTCGTGACTAAGTTTATACTTTAGTTCAGGACAACATGTCAGTAACTGAGTACACACTAAAGTTTGAATAATTAAAGATTCAAAGTCAACTAGTCGAAGATGATGGTCAAGCAAAATCTCAATTCAAGACTAGACTAAGAGTTAATATTAAAAAAGATTAATTTAATACCTTATGTCACTATAGCACAAATTTACCAAGTGGCCCTTGATCTGGAAGAATATTCGAAATATCCAATCCCCATAAACATTGTGGAATTCATTATAAAGATACATTTGAATCAAAATGTAAGCTGAAGAATGGATCAATATCAAATTTCAAACTTCTTAAAGGTAAGGAAGTTGTGTGCTTTAGATGTAGACAAAGTGAGAACATGAGTAATGAATGCCCAACAAAGAATAACTTGCATATTCGATTAAAAGAAAAGGATGAGGTGCAAGAAAGAAATAATGGTTGTGTATCCTACGTGGATAATGACTTAGCTTGTAGTGAACAAGTACCTTTCTTTTGTCAAGCTGCATATCGTCAGACTCTAAAGTGAAAGAGTAAGAAGAATCACTATATCTTCCCATTGCTCAAGATCTTTCCATATGAGTCAACTCTATAAATAGGCAAGAAAAACCAATATGGCTTCTTATTGCTCAATATCTTTCATCATCCCATAGAGATTTAATACTCCTAAACAATTGTGTCTTTCTATTATTTTAGGTATTGAGGAGATCAACTAAACACAAAAGGTTGTTAAACTTTTATGGAAAAGCTCGAGTGTCAAGATTTTACATTATTTAGCACTTTAAAACTCGTGAACAAATTTTCTCCAATCAAGAAAAAATTATGTACAATGATTAACACTATATTTCTTAAATAAATTAGAAATAGTAATTTTATTAAATGTAATACAACTATACTATTTATGAGTCTATTATTAAAAATATTATTATAGTTTTAGTAATTTAGAATTTTATTCTTAATTATAGTTAAGAGTTTATTCTTATTAATATTATTTTCTATTGTATTAGGATTAATATTCTTAGTTCTACTAAATTATTATTTTCTACATTAGTTCTAGTTAGGAAAAGTTACTTACGGATTATTGTAAATAATTTTGCAATTTTATTTTTTATTCTTTTAAGTATTCAATAATATTTTGAGAGTTTTTCAATTTTGTAGTTGTATTATGTAATCAAACCTTTAAATATCATATTTAAAACTTCTTAAATGTGATGTTTAAGAAATCTTGGGTGTGACGTCTAATTTTTTTACTCTCAAATCCTTAATCAGATAGATCAATTCTATTTGTCCTACATCATAAGTTATGCCTGGGAGGATGCTGAAGCTTTGGAAGGATGAATGGTGTGGGGAAAGGACCTTACACCATCATTTTCCATTTGTGTGCAAGAGGAAGGAGGCATTAGTGATTAACCTCTATTCTAAGTCGACTCTATACGTGGTGTAGGAAGTGGACCTATTTGGTGCGAGTGGTGATCGTGTTGTAAGTTGGTAAAAGCATTCCGAAAATAGATTTTTGTAAATGTTGTTTTAAGATGAAAAGCAGTATAATGTTTGGTAAAACTTACTGTAAAAAGTGCTTTTAATATTAAATATAATATTATATTTAGTTAATTATATTATAAAATAATTATAAATATTAAAGTAATAAAAATGATTACTATAATTTTTTAAATAATTTTTTAAAAAATACTCTAATCATTTAAATTATTTTAAAACATTTATTTTCATTTAATTATCTTTATTAATTTTCAATATAATATTAATTTTAAATAATTATAATTAGACTTTAAAACAAATATTATTTAAATAATTTATAATAAATGCAAAATAATGAATAACCAATTTTTATTTTAAAAATATAATTTATTAACTAATGAAACAAAAAGTTAATAAATATTCATTGAAAATATTCTCTACCTCTTACGGCAGAAGTAATTTCTCTCAAAAACATCTATTTCCAGGTCTTGATTTTATCTTTATCAAAGAAAAAATAAAAGATAACTTCTACATTTACTTAAAAACACTTTTTGTTTTTAGTGTCAAGCTCTTGAAGAAATTTCCTATTCCAAATTTGACAATAAGCAGAAGTTGACATCGTTAAATATCATTCCGCAAAAAAATTTCCACCTTAACAACTTCAGAAAAAAAACTAAAATATACTTTTAAATTGCTGAAACAAAAATGCTGAAAAGAAACAAGATGCTTCTTGTTTATTACAATCAAGTTTATGGTTTTAGTAAATGATAAGTTAGTATATGTACTTATTATTGGCTGCAATATTCGGTTAGGAAGAATTTGTTCCAAGTTAAAAAGATCCCCAAAAATATTTGGAATAGGAAAAAGAAAAACACACAAGCTTGATGTAATACCACTATTGTTTTTTATTACTCTGAAATGTTTAACTTTTAGCTGATTGTCACTTACATAAATCTTCTGAAATGTTTCTTTACCAAGCACAGATGACCTTTACTAGGAGTGATGACCACTGGCTAAGATGCCAAGGTCCGGATGTTTTGACTTGAGTTAATTTCATTAATATACATCTTTTGAAATTTTGTAAGTTAAACTAATATCATTTATATGAATTTTTTCACAAAAAGAATATATCATTTATATACATTTTTTTTAGTGGAATACTAGTCATAGTTTTCGATAATTAATATCCTACTAAAAATATCATTTATAAATGCTAACAAATATTAGTAGTTTGTTAATCCTCTGATCTTAATAATATCACAGAATTATATTTTAAAATTATTGTTGTAATTGTAAAAAACAATTGTGAAATTTTCTTGCAGGAACTTGGATCCTATTGAATAGTTATCACATGTCCTGACGATAAAGATAACACCAATCAAGGAGGCATTTTGAGTACAAGGGAAGAATCTTGAGGACCTTATTAATTTTCTAACTGAGCTGTAAATTCCTTAATTTGTTTCTAGGGTGGAACCTTCTTGGTGCATTGTTAAGATCTATTTTATCTTTTACTGTAAAAAACATTATGGGAAAAGGAGAGATGCAAAACTATAAACAGTTTGCCTTATTGCAAAGCTTATTCATCAATTAGCAAATCATCTTTCTGTTGTACTCAATAATAACAATCACACACTGAAAATACCTAAATGCCTTTATAAGACCTAAAGAAAAATGCATTTTTTCCACCTTAAGTTACTACACTTATGGTGTATGAACTCATGATTTGGCTGCACTACCGTAAGTTGAATGGGAGCAACAAAAGATATTTACTCTTCGGGATAGAGTGGAAGAAAAGAGGAGATTCACAAAAGAGGAATATGATCATATATGTATATGTATGTATATATCTTAGTGTATTAACGGTATATGATGTAGATATAGCCCAAGGTAACTTGGTAACGATCAAATCATCATATCTGCATGTTTAACTATGATATTCACTAAAAATAGATCTCCAGAATTGCTATCACCGAATCTAACTGGTAATCAAATATGACATGTAATGACTTGCGACAAAATCAACATCGATCTATAGAGTTTTAACGCTCAGTGGTGCAAAACAAGCTAAACCAACAATAAATTTAAACCTAAGAGTAATGTTTATCTTTTATCAGGTCATTGCAGCCTGAGTAAAACCACCTACCTTCACCCCTGCTTGTGATTATATATTTCACATAGATATCTCCAAGATGAAGATGTGATTTGAACATGAATGAGATTCAAGATGCTTGATCTGTAATAACATGAACACAGCCAGTTTGCATCTCCGTTGTCAAGTATTAATACCCAAATATTCCTAAAGGTAAAGCTTCTGGTCACCCCAAATTAGCCATAAGGCTTTTCTAAAGGATTTATTAAGCACGCCAAAAGGAACTAATATACAAGACCAAACTTTGGGCATTGGCAAGTTAGAATTATGCAATCTTCTTTTTCTTCAAAGGCAATTATTGGCAATTTAGAGTTAAATGCCCACAGTTCAGAACCAATTCAGTGAACCTCCATTGAAATAACATGAGCTCAAAATTTTGTTCTAACTTAATTCCACATAGATAACTCCTAAAAAAAAATAAATCTGAATACAAAATGACATTATATCCATGCATCTAGGAGCTCAACCCCCTTTTTTCTTCATTTAACTTAAGATTTCAATGGTACTAATATATCATTTAGTAAAAAGCTGCTCTGTTTAATTTGATAAACAGTGCATATCATGTGATTCTAGTTTCGGAGCTCATTTAATATGCCAGTATATGATCTATGATTAACACGAAAGTGGACCATGATGGGTTCACAGAATGAATCATGCTAAAAAAGACATTCTAAATATGTCCAACCTGACTTGTCCCAGAATCTGAAGAACCATGATCCAGAAAACGTGTTCCCATGTGGTAGGGTTTACTAGGGAATTATGACAGAAAACTTAGAAGGTCATCATGAGATGATGTCAGTTAACATGACCTTGCGGAAAACTGTGGTTGATTAGTGAGGAAAAGAGTAGAATAAGAGAAGGTATGTATATATACCATCGGAAGTGAATAAATGAAGGCATGGTTAGAGATTGTTGCAGCCATAATGAAATCTCGCGAAATCATTGTGAGGGAAGGCCTTTAGACTAAGATGAAATTACTAGAGAAAGGAATAACAAACAGGAACAAAAGGTTCAGGTGAACCCTTGGAAAAATATTAGGCTTGAAGGTTGGACATGAAGAAAAAGTTCTATATTTTCAAAATGCACGGAGGCAATGAACAATCTCCTCAAGAAAAAAAAAAGGAAAGAAAAAGAAGAAGCAACGAATAACTAATTATTTTCCAAGTCTTATGATAAATTGGTGAAGAATAATCAGCTCTTATGGCCAATATTACATATAGGTCAGACTTACAACAAACATATCACTTTATTTGTCTACCAAGCAAGTAACAGGGAACATGTTGGCAAAATTTTGTAGAACCACAAACACAAGATGCAAATTTAGTGCTTCATCGATCACAAAGCAAATGAAAAGTAGAACAAGAAACTTCTTTCCATGTAAATGCACAAAAATGAATGGGATGCATAGGAATGTGGATGTAATGTGTGGACATTTATGGGGTAATTCATACTACACACAATAAATTTTTCATTTTTCCCCCAAACAAAATAATAGATCATGGTTATGCGTAAGAGAAACACAACTTGACCATTCTTCTACAATTTTATTTACTCATTATCTGTTAATTGAGATGCAGAATATCATGCCCCTAACTGAAAGAAAAAAGAAGTATTTGCATCTTCAATGAAGGTAAAGTGGAAATGCTAAGTAAGCATTATGTAACATACCATTTTAATTTTCAGCTGAGACCTTGGACAGAGGAATAGCAGCAGCAATGATGGTTATCAAGCATTCAATTGGAATTGGTTGACTACCAGATGTACTTTCAGTTTCGGACAATTAAACCTGCAGTACCAACCAGAACTATAGGTAAATGCCTTAATTAAAAACACATAAAAACACATGCACAACATCTAATGCCTATGTGAGTACTTCTTGGTTGTTTCTACATTAAGCCATAGTGTAATTTGAATTTAAACTTGTCTATTTTGTTTTTTCTCCACTTTTTATTTCTTTCGAGGATTGTTATCCTCTGTTGACGTGCTTCATCTCTTTCTATAATTTTTTTCGGTAAGAAAAGAAAATTTTAATATATATCCTCATCTATTCATATATTTCCTATTATGGAAAAATAAAGTACTATTAGAAAGCAAGAGAAGAAAAGAACTTGAGGGTAGGACTAGTGATGCAGAAGATGAATATCTTAAAATGCATTAATTTCTAATAAGATACATTTATATAATTGTTAAATTTATGTATTATTCAGACATTTAGGTCATTTAGAAATTAGTATATATATATATGGAATAAGTTTATTATTTCCTATTTAGTTGGGATCTTATTTAGTTATTCTTATATATAAGTTGTTTCAATTAATAAGCTCATTTTCTTACTCTTCCAAATTTCTAGATAGACTTAAGAATTCCTATTTTGGTTGTATTTTTTACATATAGATAAGGTACCTAACTAGTTATTAATTCATAATTGTTATTCAAATTTTAAGATATTGATTTGATTACTGAGATCTAAGATTTCAACTTTGATTCTTAATAAATTTTCTTTAAGTTTTGTTCTTCAAGTTTTCTTTGTCTTCTATCAGTTAGTAATCCTTCAAAAATACAAATACACAAAAGGAGAATAGGCCAAAACAACAAAATAAGCCGAATTATTAAAAAACGGCAAAGCAGTCCCCATGTAAACTAGACAAGAAATTCGCCTTAAAGAGACTATTTGCCTTAGCCCAAAGAGACACCAAAAATGGCTATCTTGTACCAAAGAAAGAAAGGAGAGAAAGAAATAGTCCCTAAAATCCTAGCATTTTTCTCCAACCATAGCACCCATAACCCAGCAAGAAACATCCCTCTTAACAGCAAATAGCCGTCTTTTTTCTTTGGAAAATCCATGAAAAGAAGAGAACAAAAGCACTCATGATTCAAAGGAGAAACCCCATAAACACTTAAATATGCTTTCCGAGTTGATGCTCCAATGAAATATGTAATGGTATCACCACTCCCTTTACATTAATAGAAGATAACAACCAATAAAAGACCAAATATAAAACTTAAAGTAGGTATGTGTAGCCAATGTAAAATATGATACTTTCTCCACCTACATTGTCAAGTACAAAAATACTCCCATGTTACAGATCATAATGCTTTTCCGAAAAGATTTCTTAACCAAACCAATATGAATCAATACGTAAAGACCAGACATTCTGTATTGGAAATTTAGAGATTACATTCCTATAATAGAGAACCAATTAACAAAAACAGCAAAAACAAAGACAAAATCATCCAACTGGGGATCAGCAAATGAATTCCGGAAAACTATTTAGACCAAGCTTATGCATCAAAAGCATCCACTAGCTATTAGATGTAAAAGGAAAGAAAAGAAAGATATGTGGTCCCACACATACAGACACCAAGAGAGGTTATATCTATAACTATTATCCACAGATGACAACCAACATGCAACTACTTAAAAGTAACAAACAAGCAGTCGAAAAAAATATATATGTAGCTTGAACATTTAGCTAACATCCATAAAGAAGGCGACGCAAATAACTCCAACTCAAAATATTAACATATTTGTATTAATTGACCTTAAGAAATTGAAGTTGCTTTGCTTTGATATACCATCTGATCGTTAATGTTACGACTGATATATTTAACAAAATGCCATAACAATACCACTACATATCTTTTGAATAAAGAACCCAGAGTGTTGGATCCTTCACATGCTATAATCAATTTAATCTCATTTTATAAAATCAACATAGAAGACATGTCAAAGATACAAAACCAATAAATAATAGAGACTATAGAATCTATAATGTTGCAATGTTCTACATATATATATATATATATAAAAGAGGGTAATGGACTGCACATATTAATTCCACAAGCAACAAGTATATTTGCTCCTTCATATTCCAAAAAACAAATATCTCCTTGCAGATCTTTATATATGAATTGACAACTAATTATCCGCAGCTGCAAAAATTAACATGTCAATTCATATATTTTAGTTGTCTAAATAAATGTAGGGATCTAATATTTTATGTGTTTGTCCATGCTGATTTTGATCAATAGAGGTATAGATTACCAGAAGCAAACAAATAAATGATAAGAATGATAATCCTGCAGCATTACATAAGCCTTAAAATATTGAAATGTATTGGAGAAAAAGTAAATTCGCAAGATATAAAAGTCAGGAACTGTAGCCAAAAAGCGTCTATCATGAATGGTAAAAAATAAAATCCAAGAGCATTTTAACAAGGCAATAAACAGCTCAAAACTAAAGTCATCTATGCAGTGATCTAACAAGTTAAAAAGGTGAACTCCTCAATACACTGTACAAAAGCAGCACCACACGGTACGCGTCTAAGAAACAACTGTATATACATCTAACAACGAGAAAAAAAAAATCCTATATTAATTAAAAAGTAAATCGTACTACATACTCTAGAAAAAAGAAACAGCAGACATTTAAACGATACGAACTGACAAATACGAAAAAGAATCATAATTCCGACCTGTAAGAAGAACGCGCACCCCTTCGAATAGAAACCAATATTAATTAGCAACTGTTATCTGCAAACATTTCCTCAACAAAACATGCCGTCAGAAATTTTCACGATGAAATAAGCAAAAGACATAGTAAAAGCTTTTCCTTATTCACCAACAAAAAACCGAGAACTGCAATGTCTAGACAAAAGTAAGGTTGGTTCTTAACCCGTTTCAATTTACTGTTGCTGCAGTTTCTCGGCAGCCAAACGTATTCCGATTCAAATTAAAGTAGCAAAACCGTGTTCACGAACAAAAATATAAGAAGAAAAGAAACAAAAACACGAGAACGGCAAATCGCAACGAAATTAATAAAATGCATAAGAGAAATTTCGACAAACTAACCAGTATGAAGCTTGATACCATGGATTCCAGCTTCAAGTGTAAACAAGAAAAGATACAGAGGACTAAATTTAGAAAAGCAAATCAAACATCGCAACAAGGAATAAACATAAACCTTCGACCAAGAATCGGAGAAAATTTGAGAAATGGATTGGTATGAGAGTGAGATCGTCTCGTACTGCAAAAAACAAGGAAAGTTGTAGAAAAAGAGAGAGAGGAAGAGAGAGAAAAAATATCTGGAGGAAAGGGGATTTAAATAAGGTAATGTGGGGGAGGGGGAGAGATTGGGTGGAACAAGATGAGCTATTTGCTTG